ATTTTGAACCATGTAGTGGTTCCTTGCTCTGTTCTGACAAATGCCTCTTGGTTCAAATATAGGTTTCTCATTAGCACGATCAAGTGTTCTGGGATTCCCATTCTTCTCAGAGTCAGCCACAGTTTGTTATGATCCACTAAGTCAAATGCCTTTGCATAGTCAATGAAACAAAGATATACACAGATATACATATGCATATAGTGGTGGTGGTGTTTGTGCTATCGAGTCAGAACTGACCCATTGTTGATCCTCCTTTTTCTATGGAGCAGCTGATGGTTTTGATCCACGTACCTTTGAGTTGGTAGCACAATTCCGTACCATTAAGCCACCAGAGCTCTCTATTTTACACACACACACACACACACACACACACACGGAGGGAGAAAGAAAAGCATGTATATATAGATATATAAATTTATGTATACACACACACAGAGCAGTATAATTTTTTTTTAAAGCCACTTCTCTGTAGAGCAACGATCCCTGCTGTGGAATCATCCCTAAAGAAACACAATAAGCTATGTCTTGCTAAACCCTGTCCCAGTTTCTCTAATTCCTAAAGGTCAAGCTCTCCATAAAATAACCTTATTCATCTGCTCTCCCCTTCCTAAAGCCTCTTCCCTAGGCCCACTTCCTGCTCTTCCATACTCACCAGATGACTGGGATCCTCGGGACCTGGCTCGCTCAGATTCCAGAAGAGTCCCTCCTAACACTTGCAGCAGAGTTCTGACCATGAAGCTGCCATGTGTGTCTCCACAGTAGAAAAGAAAGTCATCGCACACCTCGGCCGCTAGTCCCAGGACCAGTTCCTCCAAGGTCTCCGAGGGACCATCCTCCAAGTCCTCGTCCCACTCCTCCACTGCTGAGCTCCGCAGCAATCTAGGCAGCTGGAGCAAAGCACTTTGCAACACATGCACCCCGCACCGATGACAAGCCACAAAGCGTATGTTGGGACGCAGAGCAATCCACACTCGACACAATGGTTTCAAAGGACTGAACCCCAACAGTTCTTGTAGCATTTCACTGCCAGTCCTGTTTGTGGCCAAGGCTAGGGCTTGAACCTCCACTTCCTTCAGTACATTCTGCACCATTAGCTCTGGAAAGAAAACATGGGGGGAATCAGATTGCATTCCACCATGCAATAAAGGCATCAAAGTCGAGGATAAAGAAATGAGAAAGAACACTAAATTCCCACTCTCTGGGGTCCTACACAAATGTCCTTGGGTGGCCCAGAAATTTAACCCAGACCATGATCTCCTTTGGATCCTCGCGGAAACTGCTACTTACCTCGTTCTTCCCCGGTCTCAGGAGCCTCTTTCAGAGCCAACAGCGCCCGGCGAAAATACCCTAAAGCTTCGGGGCTCAGATGGGGCTGCGCATCGGGAGCAGGACGCGAAGGCCCGTCAGGGGGCGGCCGGGGTTGTCGCTCGCGGCCAGGCGTGGGGCGAACCGACCCCTTGGCCCCACGCCCACGTTTGCTGCCAGCCGGGAACCGGCGCGCTGACTTGTGAGGGGAGCGCGGACCCAGCCCCATGGGTGCCCCAACAAGTTTCGGCTTTGAAAACGATCTCAACCCGCGGCCTTAATCAGATCAATTGAACAAGTTTCGGCCGGGCGGCGCACTTCCCATTGCGTCATAGCTCCGCGCCGGCCGCCATGCGGGTGGACGGGGACCGGTCTTCCACGTAGCCCCGCCCATTGAGTTCTGTCGCCCACGACTCCGCCCCCTCGGGTGGAGCCTCAATGGACCAGGACTTAGTCCTCTCCGGACTTTGTCCCGGAAACGGTCACCGTATCTCTAAACCTCGCCTCCATGTCGCCGGTTCAACTTTGACCCCTACCGCAGTCCTGGTCACTTCATCCCACACCCTCGACTGGAACCGTGAATTCTCCCAGTGCAGGTGAGACAAGCTAAAGGACCGAGGACTCCAGAGGCTGCACAAGTGGCAGGTAAGGGGCATGAACTCCCCACTCGGCAAGCCTCTCCCTCACTCCTGAGCGGGAAAGGGGTATGCGCCCGATACTCAGTGGGACTGCGGGACCCGAGATCCCAGAGCGAGAATAACCCAGGACTCGGGATGCTCTCTAAAGCCCCTTCCCCCAAAACACGCCCCCCTCCCCATGCTGTTTAGAGTATCCCAGTCGGGGTCCAGTTCTGGACAGCCCTACTGCCTTCTTCGCTCCCAAATCAGATCAGATCCATTGCCATGCAGTGGGATTCAATTTATAGCGACCCTCCCTCCACTGGGTTTCCAAAGAGGTAAATCTTTCCAGTAGACTGCACATCTTCTCCC